GGATCACTTGAGGTCAGGAGTTCAAGATCAGCCTGACCAAGATGGTGAAACCCCATCTCTACTAAAAATATAAAAATTAGCCGGGTGCGGTGGCAGGCGCTTGTAATCCCAGCTACTTGGGAGGCTGAGGCAGGAGAATCGCTTGAACCCTGGCAGCAGAAGTTGCGGTGAGCCGAGATCGCGCCCACTCCAGCCAGGGCGACAGAGTGAAACTATCTCAAAAGACAAAAAAAGAAAAGCAGAAGAGCATAACCTTCAAAGGCTCAAGCTCTGAAATCATACTGTGTGCCTTCCAAGCTCTCCACTCACTTGCTGTGTAACCTTTTAGTGTCCAGTTTCTCATGTGTTAAACATAAAATGATATACTGGGTTCATTACAGTCCAGGGCCACAGCACTTCCTCAGCATGAACTGCCTGGACAGTTCATTTCCCCATATTCAAATGAACCGTTCTCTCACTGCATTCAGGCCTGGGCTCAAATGCCTCTTCCTCAGTGATGTCTCCCTAACTACACAATACAAAAAACAGCCCCATTAGCATGCACACTTGTGGTCCCAGCTACTCAGGAGGCTGAGGTGGTAGGATCGATTGAACCCAAGGGGTAGAAGCTACAGTGAGCCGTGATTGTGCCAATGCACTACAGCATGGGCAACAAAGTGAGACGCTGCCTCAAAAAAATTAAAAATGGGCTGGGCGCGGTGGCTTACACCTGTAATCCCAGCACTTTGGGAGGCAGAGGCAGGGAGATAACCTGAGGTCAGGAGTTCGAGAACAGCCTGACCAATATGGTGAAACTCCCGTCTCTACTAAAAGTACAAAAATTAGCTGGGCGTGGTGGTGTGTGCCTGTAGTCCCATCTACTCGGGAGGCTGTGGCAGGAGAATGGCTTGAACTGGGGAGGCGGAGGTTGCAGTGCGCCAAGGTCACATCACGCACTCCAGCCTGGGCGACAGAGCAAGACTCTGTCTCTGAGCTACAGGCCGAGCTACCATGCCTGGCCTGCACTTTAGTTTTCTTCAGAGTATTTATTCTCTGACTAAAATTGCGTAATCCTTTTGCTTGCTTTTTCATTATCCATGGAGGCAGTGACTTTATAATATAAACTGCTGTGTCACTCAGTATCTAGAACAATGTCTGGTATACAATAATGCTTACTATTTAGAGTGAATATATTAAATATGTGGTAATTAAACGAACTAATGCTTGTAAGTATCACACAATGTCTGGCACAGAGTGAGCCCTGCCATAGTTCAGACTTAATTTAGTCAGCCAATCCTTTGATTATCAGGCAGTTAGGCAGTTTCTAGTTTTTACTATTGTAAATAAACTGCATCCTTATGTACATACTCCAGAAATAATATGCTCTAAAGGATGTGATCAGGTCTAAAGAGAGCAATCATTTGTCATAATTTTTTTTAAACCTCACCTCAGTGACTGCATGTATAAATGGTGAAATCTGAATAAACTAATCTGAATAAACTTCATGAATTATACCAGGGTCAGTTTCCTGGTTTAGATACTACACCACAGTTGTGCAAAATATTAACACTTAGGGAGGATGGGAGAAAAATACACAAGACTCCTCTGTGCATTTCTTTGCATCTTCTTGTGAATCTATAATTTCTCAAATTAAAAGGTTTTTTAATTTTTAATTGACACAGAGAAACAGGAGAGAAGACATGCCTTACCTCTTCTTTTGTGGCATTTTCGGGCACCCCACTTAATCGAATAAGCCTGCTGGGTTTCTCCTCACTTGGGCCAGTCCTATAATCTTGATCCTTAAATTGAAAATGAAAAATTATTTCACAAATAAATATACTTTACTGTACAAAATACAAATCAACATGAAATTTTCTCTATTGTTCTGAGTGCCAGAATGTGACTTCAAATCACAAGAATGTAAATGTGCTAAGACCAAGGCTCACTGAAAGAGTCTTGAAAGTAAAGTGGCCGGGCGCGGTGGCTCAAGCCTGTAATCCCAGCACTTTGGGAGGCCGAGACGGGCGGATCACGAGGTCAGGAGATCGAGACCATCCTGGCTAACACAGTGAAACCCCGTCTCTACTAAAAAATACAAAAAAAATAGCCGGGCGAGGTGGCGGGTGCCTGTAGTCCTAGCTACTCTGGAGGCTGAGGCAGGAGAATGGCGTAAACCTGGGAGGCGGAGCTTGCAGTGAGCTGAGATCCAGCCACTGCACTCCAGCCTGGGCGACAGCGGGAGACTCTGTCTCAAAAAAAAAAAAAAAAAAAAGAAAGTAAAGCAAAAAATTACGAGACACAAGACTGAATAAGACTTTAATAACCAGAAAGACAAACTAACATATTCTCACTAATTTTCTCAGCCTGGGCAATATGGTGAAACCGTCTCTACTAAAAATACAAAAATTAGCCAACTGTGCTGTGCGCGCCTGTGGTCCCAGCTACTCAGGAGGCTGAGGCAGAAGAATCGCTTGAACCTGGGAGGCAGGGGTTTCAGTGACCCAAGATTGTGCCACTGCACTCCAGCCTGGGTGACAGAGCGAGACCCCCATTTCAAAAAAAAAAAAAACAAGAAAAATTTCCCTGGTCTGAGAGCTGGAAAATGGGGTGTAAACTTGCAGTACTTCATACCTCTGGTGAGAGAAGATGACTAGATAATTTTTTTTTTTTTTCTTTTGAGACAAAGTCTCGCTCTGTCACCCAGGCTGGAGTGTAGTGGCACAATCTCAGCTCACTGCAGCCTCCGCCCCCAAGTTCAAGCAATTCTCCTGCCTCGGCCTCCCAAGTAGTTGGGATTACAGATGCCTGCCTCCACACCTGGCTAATTTTGGTTTTTGGTTTTTTTTCAGATGGAGTTTCGCTCTTGCCGCTCAGGCTGGAGTGTAATAGTGCCACCTCCGCCTCCCCACAAACTCTGCCTCCCGGGTTCAAGGGATTCTCCTGCCTCAGCCTCCAGAGTAGCTGGGATTACAGGCATGTACCACCACGCCCAGTTAATTTTATATTTTTAGTAAAGACAGGGTTTCTCCACGTTGGTCAGGCTGGTCTCAAACTCACAATCTCAAATGATCTGCCTGCCTTGGCTTCCCAAAGTGTTGGGATTACAGGCATGAGCCACTAGGCCCGGCCTAATTTTGTTATTTTTAGTAGAGATAGGGTTTCACCATGTTGACCAGGCTATTCTTGAAATCCTGATCTCAAATGATCTGCCCACCTTTGCCTCCCAAAGTGCTGGGATTACAGGCTGAATAAGACTTTAATAATCAGGCGTGAGCCACTCTGTGCCTGGCCTTATTTTTCTTTTCCCCGGTCACATTCTCTCCTGAGGTTGCACCACACTGGTCTCAAGCTCCCAGCCTCAAGTGATCCTCCCACTTAAGCCTCCTAAAGTGCTGAAATTACAAGCATAGGCCACTGTACCGGGCCAAATCTACTTTAAAAGAGAATACCTTCATTGTAAAATTACAAATATAACCCTCCTTGCTTAAATCATATATCAAGAAGTTTTAACATTTAAGTTAATTACGTTAGCTGCAAGAGGATAGTTGCAACATTAATATCAGCTCCTCACATTAATATTAGCTCCTCAGGACTAGGGAGACTCCTAAGTATTATCTCAACAAATTTAAATAAGAAAATGATCCCTAAACGATCACAGGTCTAACTAAGCAAGAGTTGCAAGAGTCAACTCCCAAAGACATATACTTTCAAACTAAATTATCCCAAGGCATGTAAATCAGCACCATAAAACAAAATAATGAATAAACACACATCAAAAGGGTAGGGGCACTGGCTTACTGCTGTAATCCCAGCACTTTGGGAAGCTAAGGAGGGGGCACTGCTTGAACCCAGGAATTTGAAACCAGCCTGGATAATACGTTGCAATCTTGTGTCTACAAAAAAATACAAAATTGCTGGTCAGGCATGGTGGTGCATGCCTGTAATCCCAGCTCTTTGGGAGGCTGAGAAGGGTGGATCATTTGAGATCAGGTGTTCCAGCCCAGTCTAGGTAACATACCTAAACCTCATCTCTACAAAAAAATACAAAAATTAGTCAGATGTGGTGGTGCACAACTACAGTCCCAGCTATTCAGGAGGCTGAGGCAGGAAGACTGCTTGAACTCGGGAGGCGGAGGTAGCTGTGAGCCAAGATCGCGCCACTGCACTCCAGCCTAGGCAACAAGGCGAGACTCCATCTCAAAAAAGAAAAAAAAAAAAAATTAACTAGGCATGGTGACATATACCTGTAGTCCCAGCTTCCTGGAAGGCTGGGGCGGGGGAACCCCTTGAACCTGGGAGGTAGAGATTGCAGTGAGCCGAGATCACAACATTGCACTCCAGACTGAACGAGAGTGAGACTCATTCTCCAAGGGAAAAAAAAAAACTAGCCAGGCATGGAGGCTGGCACACACCTGTAGTTCCAGCTACTCAGGAGGCTGAGGTGGGAGGATTGCTTGAGCCTGAGAGGTCAAGGCTGCAAGGAGCCATGATTACACCACTGCACTTCAGCCTGAGTGACAAAGTGAGACCCTGTCTCAAATATATATATATATATATAGTTCCTTCATATATACACACACATATATATAAATGGAAAGTGAAGCAGAAAGAAAAGAATAAAAGAAAATACATATATATGATCTGAGCTAAAGGCCTTTTCTCTAGAGATTTACATTCCTACATTCCACTCCTGAATACAAATTTTGCTTTCTAATGGTTGTGCAAGGATAAAAATAAAATGAAAAAAATTTTTAAATAAATAAATTGGTCAGGCATGGTGGCTCATGCCTGTAATTCCAGCACTTTGGGAGGTCGAGGTGGGCAGATCACGAGGTCAGGGGTTCGAGACCAGCCTGGCCAACATGGTGAAATCCCATCTGCACCAAAAATACAAAAATTAACCGGGCATGGTGGCACGTGCCCGTAATCCCAGCTACTCAGGAGGTTGCAGCAGGAAAACTGCTTGAACCTGGGAGGTGGAGGTTGCAGTGAGCTGAGATTATGTCACTGCACTCCAGCCTGGGTGACAGAGCAAGATTCCGTCTCAAAAATAAATAAATAAATACACACATAAATGAATTTCACCCTTCACAAAAGTCTTATTTAAAAAAAAAAAAAAAAAAGCAGGCCAGGCGCAGTGGTTCACGCCTGTAATCCCAGCACTTTGGGAGGCCAAGGCAGGCGGATCACAAGGTCAGAAGATCGAGACCATCCTGGCTAACACAGTGAAACCCTGTCTCTACTAAAAATACAAAAAAAAAAATTAGCCGGGCCTGGTGGCGGTCACCTGTAGTCCCAGCTACTCGGGAGGCTGAGGCAGGAGAATGGTGTGAGCCTGGGAGGTGGAGCTTGCAGTGAGCCGAGATCGTGACACTGCACTCCAGCCTGGGCGAAAGAGTGAGACTCCACGTTTTTGTTTTTTTTTTTAAAAAAAAAAAAAAAAAGAGCAGTCCACTCAATCAACATACCTGAAGGTCCCGTTGGGCATCTCGGGCAGTTTTGCCCTCTGGAAAAGACTTGCTCTGGCCATAGCCAAACATCTGGCTTCCTGGCAGCCTATGATCCACATCACGGTACTCCATGCTTCTGTAATCAGTGTCTTGCCGCCCAAGAAAGTCCAGACCGCCTTCTTCTTTAAACAGACCAGCATCTGAACTCTGCTGTTCACCTCCAGAAAGCTGTGACTTATCTTGGTCTTGAACTGGACTCTGGCTGTTCCGAAAGTCTGCTGAAGACTCATGTTCAAAGGCTACACCTTGTGTTTCTCCTTCTCTTGTTTCTGAATGCTCAAATTCTCCCTTCTGAATGCCGAAAGCAGGCCTTTCTATCGTATGGTCATGTGTGGATTCTTCTCTCCTGTTCACATTCATACCAGAATGTTCTCTATCTTGTGTAGAGGGCTGAATGTAATCCAAAATATTTGGATCCACAGGGGGCATCTCCCTATCTTTAAATTCCATACAAGTTCCCATCTCTCTGCCCCTAAAATCCTGATCAGTCCTAGACCGGTGTCTACCTCTGAAATCTGAATGTGGCGTATCCCTGTCCCTAAAGTCTAGATCAGTAGTACCTGAACCTCGGCCTCTAAAGTCTACTTGTGTTCCGTCTTTGTCTCTGAAGTCCAAATCAGATACATCTCTATTCCTAAAATCAGAACGGGACTGTTCTCTGGCCCTAAAATCCAAATCTGATAAATCCCTTCCCCTAAAATCTGCATGGGATCCATCTCGGCCTCTAAAATCTAAATCATAAGTGCCCCGGCCCCTGAAGTCAGATGGAGGAGCATCCCTACCTCTGAAGTCAACAGCGTGAGCATCCCTGTCTCTGTAGTTCATATGAGGTGCCTCCCTACCTCTATAATCCATAGAAGTACCATCTCCACCCCTATAGTCCATAGGTGGTCCTTCTCTATCCCGAAAATCCCCAGAATGTATGTCCCTACCCCTGAAGTCCAACTGTGATGAATCTCTGCTCTGGAAATCAGAAGACGAAAAATCTCCCCCCCTGAAATCATGTCCAGGTCCCTCCCCTCCTCGATAGTCACCATGTGGTCCGTCTCTAGCTCCATAGCTGAAAGAATGCTCCTCTACATTTGCAAAAGGAGGCCCCGAATGCCCCTGGAAATCAAAGGGAAGTGAATCTCTGCCAGGAAAGTTGCCAGAGTGTCTCTCTTGAGCATGACTCTTAAGGGGAGGAGGAGGATAATCCCTGTTCCACCCGGGAGCAAACCTTTCTTCTTGGCTCCCACTGTAGAAACAAAGACAGTGTTATTCATATTGTCCAGAGAGTTTGAAATCTACACACCAGCATATTCTTCTCTAATCACAGCACATTCTTCTGTAAACATTTTTTTTTTTTTTGGCAGAGTTCTGTAACAAGGTCCTAGATCTGCAGAAAACAGCAAAGTTTTGCTATTTTAAGACGAAGTGGCGGAGTAAACTTTTATGCTCCCATTTCAGAACACGAGGAAAGTCAACACAAGGTTTTCAACATGACTGCTGCAGAAAAAGCTTTCACCCAGTCCTGCAACAGGGAAAATCCGCAATACCAAATAAGCTAACAATGGTGACATGCTACAAAAATTTCCATTTCCTACAGCCAGGGAACTTAAGAATTCCAAGGTCAACATGACGATTCCTATATATCAGAAAAATCAATGCACTGTAAATTTCTTACAGTAAGTTTCAGGAGGTATCTTTCTCACTGCTGCATCCAGTGGTAACATTCCAAAATATTTTATTACAGATACAGCATGGACACCACCCAATCAAAATGGATGCAAGCCCAAAGGGAACACTGGTTGTAAATCACCAGTAGGAACAAGCATACCAGTGTTCACCAGCTAAGCATCAGCCCTGGCTGCATCTAAATCCCAGTTCTGCAGTGGCTCCACCAAGAAACACTCTAACCTGGGTCCTATTTAACTACCCAAGGGTATCATAGAAGGTAGTATGAATCATGCCACAAAGCATATGCAAGTCATTTAAGCCACGCAACAGCATCCAGGGGCTTAATACTGAGAGGGACCTAGAGAGAGTATTAGGCCTTAAAGCATGATCCCCATGACCCAAATGAAGAAGCTGATATTCCGTATTTCAATGTCTCATGCTACTTTTTCATGGCAATAAAATGCATTTTAAAAATAGGCATAAGTATTAAATTTACATTCTCAATTTACAGAACTCAAGAGATAAACAAGATGTGACCTAATCTTTCATCCTACCCAATTTCCTTCCTTTGCCTAAATTCCAGGACATTTTACATGTTTTGGCTTCAGTCCAAGATTCCCTAAACTAGTTTAAGTAGGCAATTAGGCACCTGGGATCCTAGGTAGCGAGACATGAAAAAGGAAAACATGAAAAGACCTGAAGGGTCATCTGTTATTCAGCATTAAAACAAAAGCATTAAGATATTAATACCAGCTCAATTCTTGCCTCCCAGAACATACAGGGTCTATCATAAGGCCCTTCTGAGCTCAGACTGCACTACCATAGTAAAATTCAAAGGACAACTGAGTCTGGGTCACTCAGCTCAAGAGAAATAATTGCAATGCCAAATCCTTTCTTTTTCTTTTTCTTTTCTTTTCTTCTTTTTGATACGGAGTCTCGCTCTGTTGCCCAGGCTGGAATGCAATGGCGCGATCTCGGTTCACTGCAACTTCCGCCTCCTGGGCTCAAGCAATTCTCGTGCCTCAGCCTCCCGAGTAGCTGGGATTACAGGCACATGCCACCATGTCCAGCTAATTTTTATATTTTTAGTAGAGATGGGGTTTTACCATGTTGCCCAGGCCGGTCTTGAACTCCTGACCTCAGGTGAGCCACCCATCTCAGTCTTCCCAAGGGTTAGGGTTACAGGCGTGAGCCACCATGCCCAGCCAACCCTTTCTTAAAGTAATAGGAATTTAATAACATTAACCTAAATGCTAGAATGATGTACATTTAATGGATTTTCAGAACATGATGACTTCCACTGACTCCCATTAACACTAGTTATGTCTATGTTGTTCATGATAAGAGGAGCAAGTTGGCCGGGTGCAGTGGCTCACGCCTATAATCCCAGCACTTTGGGAGGCCGAGGCGGGCGGATCGCAAGGTCAGGAGATCGAGACCACCCTGGCTAACACAGTGAAATCCCATCTCTACTAAAAATATTTAAAAATTGGCCAGGCATGGTGGCGGGTGCCTGTAGTCCCAGCTGCTCGGGAGGTTGAGGCAGGAGAATGGCGTGAACCCGGAAGGCAGAGCTTGCAGTAAGCCAAGATCGCGTCACTATACTCCAGCCCGGGTGACGAGCGAGATTCCATCTCAAAAAAAAAAAAAAAAGAGGAGCAAGTTTAGATGTTCTTCTTAAGCAATACAATTTAACACTAAAATTAAGATGTTACCACTAAATACAATGTCTCCCATGTTTAAAATCAATTCAACTCTCTTGCAGGAAGATTTAAGCTTCATCAGACACTCATGAGATGAGGACTGAGGTATGAAATCCACATGTTTTCTGACAAGAACACATCCAACACGGCCTAAGGATTATCTCTCACCCTTCTAAATTAAGACCAAATAGATTTAGAGTAACTTACTGTAGCAGGGTTCTTAGATCTGTATTTTATACAGACTAATCAAGAAACCGTTCTACTAACATAAAATATCAGTAGTTATGAAAACTATTTTTAACCAAATAAAAACAAATTTTAAAAGAAAAGTTCAAAGGAAATGTAACAAAATCATTTTCCTGTATCTTTTTTGGTTCAAATTAGTTCCCAAAAACTGTGTCTCCCTCCTGGTCAAAGATCTTAAAAAACAGCATATAATGACTTACATTTAAACTAAAATTAAGGTGGGAAGATACAATTTTAAATAAGTTTAAACAAGTCAAAGACAAATGTTCTAAATTTGAAAAAAGTTAGACAACAGAGCTAAATTTACCTAACATTTCTGAATGCTTACCTAAATCACGTTAATTCTATAAGAAATATCCTTACTTACAAAATAGTTACCCATAAATATAAGTAATAAGAGGATAGATTACAACCTAAATATTTTTAAATGTTAACGTACAACCTCATTGATCTAGACGAGAGGTCAGGAAACTTTTTCCATGAAGAGCCAGTTCGTAAATATATTGGATTTTGTGGGTTATACAATCTCTGTTACAACTATTCAATTCTGCCATTATAGCTTGAAAGCAGCCATACACAATCTGCTAACAAGAAGAGCTGCTGTTTTCCAATAAAACTTTATTTACAAAAACAGGTTATCAGCTGTAGTTTGCTGACAACTGATCTAATCCTTTGTATTTTTAAAAGAAAAAACATACCCAACATCACACAGCTGTTTTAATTTAAAGACCACTGAAGAGAAAATAAGGATCTCTGTCATTCAGCATTTATGAAATACTAGTTTTACTAAACATTATATGGATTTTCTAAACTCAGTTCTCTACCTAAATTTTTCATTGGAACTCCAAGCTTCAAAATAATGAATGAGAACATCTGTTGAATGTAAGTAATAAAATATTGCAGACTGCCAATCCAAATGAAAATTTACTAGTGGCGGGTGCAGTGGCTCACACTTATAATCCCAGCACTTTGGGAGGTTGAGGTAGGTGGATCACTTGGGGTCAGGAGTTTGAGATCAGCCTGGCCAACATGGTAAAATGCCATCTCTACTAAAAAAAGACACAAAAATTAGCCAGGCGTAGTGGCATACATCTGTAGTCCCAGCTACTTGGGAGACTAAGGCAGGAGAATCACTTGAACCTGGGAGTCAGAGGCTGCAGTGAGCTGAGATCGTACCCCTGCACTCCAGCATGGGTGACAGAGTGAGACTCCATTTCGAAAAAAGGAAAAAAAAAGAAAATGTACTAGTAACAGAATTTTCAACTGGAGCATCAATACTTATGAACGCACACATTTAAAGGTCAGATTTCTTTGCTATGTACCAAGCAAAATCAAAAAGTCACATTCGTGTAGCATTTCATTAACTGTAAACACAATACAAAAGATGTTTAAATACTAGTTAAAATACAGTGTGTATTACACTAGCTATAAAAAAATTAACTCCCTATAAATTTAAAATGCAATCCATTTACAACTAAATGGTACCACCTTCTCCACTCTTCTTGGTACCCAGTAACCCCTAAAATTGAGAGGTGGCTTAGCAAACTGCATCAACATGCCACAGACAAGGCACAGCTCTGAATTCTAGACATAAATTAGTGAACTCAATGCAACTTTTATAAACATTTACGTACATTTCACTAGCTTTCCTTACTAGTCAAATACGTATTCCTTTGCTAAGAGACAAAAAGAAACAAAATATTTGGGTATTTTTTAATATTAAAATAATGAAATTAGCCGGGCATAGTGGCACGCGCCTGTAATCCCAGCTACTCAGGAGGCTGAGGCAGGAGAATCACTTGAACACGGGAGGCGGAGGTTGCAGTAAGTCAAGATCGCACCACTGCACTCCAGCCTGGGAGAGAGAGTGAGACTCTGTCTCAAAAACTAAATAAATAAATAAAAATTTAAAATGTTATATGACAAAACATTTGGCATGCTGGGTATTCAGTCTCACAATCATTTTCGAAATTATTTTCCAAATTGATTTTCTTTTTTTTTTTCTTTTTTTTTTTTTTGAGACGGCGTCTTGCTCTGTTACCCAGGCTGGAGTGCAGTGCCATGATCTCGGCTCACTGCAAGCTCCACCTCCCGGGTTCATGCCATTCTCCTGCTTCAGCCTCCCGAGTAGCCGGGACTACAGGCGCCGGCAACCAGCCAGGATGGTCTCGATCTCCTGACCTCGTGATCTGCCCGCCTCAGCCTCCCAAAGTGCTGGGATTACAGGCGTGAGCCACCGCGCCCGGTCAAGTTTCTGTTTTTAAAAAACCAAAAACTATTTCTCCACAGAGAAATCATCTGCATTTATAGTAGCCCAAAATGTTACATATTTATAATTAAAACACTGGCAATTTCAATATTAAAATTTCAGAACTTACCGAAAAGGTCCAGTTCTGTTTGCAGGTCGAGAATCCCCCCACATCTCTTTTTATCAAGAGGGCCCCAACGAGTAGATCCTTTTTTCTACCAAATTCTGGTTATAGCAGTACCTGTACAAAATAAACCACAAAAATTAGTACTTTAGAATGTGAACTAAAAGCTAAACTAGTTTCCCACTGCTTGGTTTATCAGGGACCACATCAACAGCAATAACTCTGAAGGTCTTTTGTTTCTTTTTTTTCGAGACGGAGTCTCGCTCTGTCGCCCCGGCTGGAGTGCAGTGGCCGGATCTAGGCTCACTGCAAGTTCCGCCTTCCGGGTTTACGCCATTCTCCTGCCTCAGCCTCCTGAGTAGCTGGGACTACAGGCGCCCGCCACCTCGCCCGGCTAATTTTTATATTTTTAGTAGAGACGGGGTTTCACCGTGTTAGTCAGGATGGTCTCGATCTCCTGACCTCGTGATCCACCCGTCTCGGCCTCCGAAAGTGCTGGGATTA